TTAGGACAATTCTGCTGGCATGTGCATTGGCCCGTCATCTATCATTAAAACCTGTAGTGGCTAAACTTGGAAGATTTTTTTAAATGGTTTTAATTAAAAGGTAAAAACCATTCTTAGTCCAAAGGAATATAAAAATAGGCAGGATGGTTGAATTTGGCCTCTGGGCTAGAGTTGGCCAACCCCTGTTTTGATAATCAACAAAACAATAAATCAGGCCCCGGTCTGTAGTATTTGCTGATTTCTAAGATGTAAATGCTTGCACCAGGAATTTAACCATTGGCTTTTGCAAGCTGGTTCAAACTGGTTCCAGCACACCCCTGAGTGTAGTCCTCAATATTGATGCAAAATTTTTAAATAAATTTGTTAGGGGATTATAACAACATATCCAGGAAATATTTTGCTACAAACTTAAGATGGATTAATAGCTACAATGTAGGGATAGTTCAGCATTAGGAAAATAAATAGTATAATTAATCATCTAAATGACAAGAATAATAAAACCATCTGATTATTTCATCATTTGTAGAGGAAACCTTTATGTTATGGTCTCATGTTAAAAAAAACCCAAAATATTAGGCATGTAAAGACCCTTTCTTTAATATGTTCAAATACATAAATGATTTTATTTGAAATAGAGAAACAGTAAAAGCTTTTCCAAAAGAAATGAAAATAAAGCAATGATATTATCTCTCTTCAGTATTATTTAATTTAATTCTAGAAATACTAGCTATCACAATAAAACAAAAGAATAAAATTAAAGGTGTAAACACTACCAAAGAGACAAAATTATCCCTATTTGCTGGGGGTATATGGTATGATGGTATGATTAGAAGCAGCTTATCAAGATGGTAGGTTCAGAAAGGTAGCAGAATACAAAATAGATCCACAAAAGATTTGGCATTTCTGTATAGTACCAAGAAGAAATGCTAATAAGGTAAATTCCATTCAAAATAACCAAAAATGTATAAAGTATTTGTGAGCTAACCTGCTAAGACACATGCAATATTTATATAAATACAACTACAAAGACACATAATTGCACTAGATGGTTGGTCTATGCTAGTTAAAATGATGATACTCCCTCTATTAATTAACAGATTTATTACTAAGTCTGTTATTATAAGGCCAATCAAGTTACCAAAATGATACTTAATAGAGCTAGATTAAAAAAAAAAAGCAAGATACATTTGGAAAGGAACAAAAGGTCTAAAAACAATGCAAAAAAAACAAAGGAGAAGGAAGAGGTAACCTTTCGAGACTAGCCATAATCATCAAAACATTTTAGTACTCATTAAAAATCAGGAAAGTAAATTGATGGAATAGATTAGATAAATAAGAACCAGAAGCAATGAAAAAGAGTGGCTTAGTGTGCAATAAATCCAAGAACACCACTTACTGTTGAAAGGACTCTTTGTGATAACTACTGGGAAGACTGGAAAGCAGTTTGACAAAAATTAGGTTTATACTAGCATCTTACACAATACACCACAAATTAAAAATGGATATGTCACCTGAATGTTAAAGATCCTACCATAAGAAATTAGAGAAGCAGATCATATACCTTTCAAGTCTGTGGGTATGAGATGAACTTTTGGGCTTAACCTCCTTAAAACACTGCTTTTCAAATGTTACTCCATGCTCAAATAGGAATGATGGCTAAAAAGCCCATTATACTTTTATATTGCTGTAATAAGAAGTTTTTACATATATAACTTCACATTTGCCTTTCTGAAACATCCATACATTGCCCCTACTTTTGCTCTCTGGTGTCAAATAGAACAAATCTAATAACTTGTCCACTTGACAACCCTTCACATACTTGAAGATTGCTATCATATCCCCCTCACATGTTGTCTTAAAAGGATAAGTCCAAACTAGGCATCCGTGACCTAGCTCCAGTTTTCTCTCCTCTGCTTAAAACTGTAGCCAAATAGATCTATTCATCTCCTGTATATAACTTCCATTCATTCAACAAATATCTATTGAGGGCTTACTACATGGGTTTTCGTGTCAATTCATATCATACTTCTGCTTGCTATATCTTTTTTTCTCTCTCTCCTGTCTCTATTCCTTTCATGTGGTAGGCTTAAAGTGTTTGTAGAGTTGATTTGAACTTAAGTCCTGTTTTTCCTTCAAGATTCAAGTTAGGTCTTATCTCTATGGATTCTTTATCAACTGTCCCAATTCACTGTGATCTCTTCCTTTGAACTCCTGTATTGTCTAGTACAGGGGTGGGGAACCTGCGGCCTTGAGGCCACATATGGTCTTCAAGTGTGGCCCTTTGATTGAGTCCAAGTTTAAAGGATTTATTCCATAAAGCTTGGATTCACTCAAAGGACTGCATCTGGGGACCTACAGGGCCACATGTGGCCTCGAGGCCACAGGTTCACCACCCCTGATCTAGTACCTCTCATTTAGCATATGCTGCATTCTAGTATTGTATCTTTTTACACATGTATCTTTCTTCCCAGCTAGTCTACAAAATAAAGTTGTCTTTGTATCCCTGTCCAAAACACACACACATATACAAACACAGATCTACATATACGTATATATATATATACACACACACACATACGTATGTATATATGTGTGTTGGTAATGATAATATATATCTAATTTTAATTTATTTAACAATAAGGATTTGGTGGGTAGAGTACAAAAACTAGCAGTTACATGGGTACAATTGAATGCCATTATTATTCTTTAGCAGTGCTTTTATTTTGAATATTTTTTTTTCAAATTACATGTAAAAACAATTTTTAACATTCATTTTTAAAAATTTTGAGTTCTAAATTCTCTTCCTATCCTAATCCCTCCTTGAGACAGTAAGCAATTTGTTATAGGTTATACACATGCAATCATGCAAAACGTATTTCCATATTAGTCATGTTGAAAGCAAAAAATAGGGTGCTTCAAACTGCATTCAGACTCCATCAGTTCTTCTTCTGGATGTGGATAACATTTTCATTATGAATTCTTTGGCTTATATTGTTGTATTGCCGAAATTAGCTAAATCATTCACAGTTGATTATTGTACAATATTGCTGTTACTGTGTACAGTGAGATTTTCCTGTTTCTGCTCCCTTCACTTTGCATCAGTTCATATAAGTCTTGGTAGGTTTTTATGAAATTATCCTCATTATTTCTCATCACACAATAATATTCCATTATAATCATATATCACAACTTGTTCAGCCATTCCCCAATTGATGGGATATTTTTTATCTTTTTTTTTTAATCTCTTTGGGATGCAGACCTAGGAGAGATATTGTTGGATCAAAGGGTAAGCACAGTTTTATCACTCTTTGGGCATAGTTCCAAATTGCTCTGTAGGATGGGTGGATCAATTCACAACACCATCAACAGTGTATTAGTGTCACAATATCCCCACATTCCCTCTAACATTTATCATTTTCATTTTCTGTCATATAAGCCAATCTGGTAGGTATGGGGTGGTACGTCAGAAGTTGCTTTTATTTGCATTTCTTTAATTAATAGTGATTTAGAGCATTTTTTCATATGACAATAGATAGATTTGATTTCTTTATCTGAAAACTGTTCTTATCCTTTGACCATTTATCAATTGGGGAATGCCTTGCACGCTTGTAAATTTGACTCAGTTCTCCATATATTTGAGAAATGAAGCTTTTGTCAGAGATACTTACTGTAAAAATATTTTCTCAGCTTTCTGCTTTCCTTCTAATCTTGGCTGCATTGGTTTTGTTTGTGCAAAACCTTTTTAATTTAATATAATCAAAATGATCCATTTTCCATCTCTTAATGCTCTCTGTTTCTTATTTGGTCATAAATTCTTCCCTTCTCCATAGATCTGACAGGTACACTATTCCTTGCTCACCTCATTTGTTTATGGTATCATCCTCTATATCTAAATCACGTAGCCATTTTGATCTTATCTTAGTATATGGTGTAAGGTCAATACTTAATTTCTACCATACTGTTTTTCGGTTTTGTCAAATAATGAGTTCTTGCCCCCAAAGCTTGGGTCTGAGTTTTTCAAACACGTGATCATTCACTATTGTATTGTGCACCTAATCTATTCCACTGATCCACCATTCTATTTCTTAGCCAGTACCAGATTGTTTTGATGATTACTGCTTTATAATACAGTTTGAGATCTGGTACAGCTGGGCTACCTTCATATTTTTTCATTAATTCTCTTGATATTTTTGAATTTTTGTTTTTTCAGGTGAATTTTGTTATTTTTTTCTAGCTTTGTAAAGTAATTTTTTGGTAGTTTGATTGGTATGTCACTGGTAAAATTGTCATTTTTACTATATTGGGTTGGCCTACCCATGAACAAATGATATTTTTCCAGTTGTCTAGATCTGACTTTGTGTGAAAAGTGTTTTGTAATTGTGTTCAAATAGTTCTTGGATTTGTCTTGCCAGGTAGACTCTCAAGTATTTTATATTGTCTATAGTTATTTTAAATGGAATTTCTCTATCTCTTGATGCTGGACTTTGTTGGTAATATATAGAAATGCTGATGATTTATGTGAGTTTATTTTACATCCTGCAACTTTGCTAAAGTTGTTAATTATTTCACCTAGTTTTTTAGTGGATTCTCTCTCTCTCTCTCTCTCTCTCTCTCTCTCTCTCTCTCTCTCTCTCTCTCTCTCTCTTCTCTCTCTCTCTCTCTCTCTTTTTTGCAATTGGGGTTAAGTGACTTGCCCAGGGTCACACAGCTAGCAAGTGTCAAGTGTTTGGTCTGAGGTCACATTTGAACTCAGGTCCTCCTGACTTCAGGGCTGGTGCTGTATCCACTGCGCCACCTAGCTGCCCCTGTATTCTCCAAGTATAACATCATATCATCTTCAAAGAGTGATAGTTTTGTTTCATCATTACCTATTCTAATTCCTTCAACTTCTTTTTCTTTTCTTATTGCTATAGCTACAATATTGAATAATAGTGGTCATAATGAGCATCTTTTAGCAATGCTTTTATAACTATTTTTCTTATGTTTTCCATTTCTATTAGACATTGAGCTGCTGCAAGAAAATTTTACTGACATTGAAGCAAAAGATCAAAGGTTACAGAAAGTTAAAGTTATTCTTCTGCTGCCTCGTTGCTCTGGACTGGGTGTTAGCAACCCAATAGAATTTATTTTAAATGAGAATGAAGGTAATTGTTTTTAGCACAATGCCTGGCACATGGGAGGTATTTAGTAAATGCTTGTTCTCTTCCCCATACTTTTCCTTTGTATCTTATGGGAGGTAGGTGATAGAAAGTTATAAGCAATTTATAATCTCATAAGATAATAAGTAGGGATGGAAAGAAGCTAGTTTATTGAAAGCTTGTTTAGATACCCAGTTACACCATATTACCCTTAGAGAATTTAGGGATGATCCTGCAAGAAGACAGCAAATAGGGAAAAAATGGAAAAGATCTGTCAGGTTACAATAACAAACTCTTCTCCATCAGAGATCCATTGGAATCACTACTTCTGTATACGAACAGTTATCATAGTCCTTAATGTGTTACATGAGGAAATAGAAATGGCACTGAATAAAGCACAAATGGTTTAATCTAGGTTTTTCCCCCAAGAATACATAAAAGACAGCTTTGCTAGGAGTGATACAATTGTGAGGGCTTGGAGTGATTAATTCCCAAGATACCTAAATGAGGGGGTGGGTACCAAGCATGTAGAAAAAAAATCAGTTATTGCAAATAAGTACTAACTGATATTCCTATTTTCCTATCTCCATAAAATATTTCTATGAGCATAAACTGTACATGTTAGTGGTATCCTTAATGAAGGTATGAGAAAGGAATATTGCAGGCTTTTGAAAAAAGTATTCTACAACAGACCATATCTTCATAGTCACAAAACTGACTGAAGGGTGCAGATAATACAATTCTATTATGCTTATTCTTGTTGACTATAAAAAATTTAATTTGGTGGAGCAAGATGTTACCCTCAAGGGTGTCTATCAATAAAGTATCTCTCATGTATATGTTAAGATTTTACAAGATTCCTTGATAGATATAATAGTACAAATGCCTTTGTTACATGACCCAGTGATTATTAAGTCAGGCATAAGTCAGGGAAGATGTATGTATTTGCCATTGTCATGAAAGAGATCAAGAACAGAATCCAAGTGAAAGATGGATTCCCTAGAGAGATGAGGTCCTTCAGGTGTTCCTGGTTGCTAATGGTATTGTACTAAATCCATCAAATCCCCAAACACTGCAGAGCCTCTTAAATGAGATAGAGAATCACTCAAAATAATTTGGCCTAATTATTCACACAGAAAAAACCAAGGAGATGGGTAAAGAATGCCTGTCATTCAGATTAGGACAATTCCATTGAAAGAAAAGCCCATAGAGCTGGTCTTTTTGCACATTTAACTTAGATCCTGTGTAGCTGTGAGGTTTGGACAATCCCAAAGAATTAAAGAAACAGGTGACTGAAAGGTCAATGATGATACATGGTATAAAATTTGTTATCAGAGAAATATATGTTTGGAATTATAGGGCAGCTAAGTAGTGCAGTGGATAGAGCACTGGGCCTTGCAATCAGGAAGACTTATCTTCATGAGTTCAAATCTAGCCTCAGACACTTGCCAGTTGTATGACCCTGGACAAGTCGCTTAACCCTGTTTGTCTCAGTTTCTTATCTTTAAAATGATCTGGAAAAGGAAATGGAAAAACCACTCTAATATCTTTGCCAAGAAAACCCCAAATGGGGTCACAAAGAATTAGACATGACAGAAAAATGACTTAACAACAAGAACATATGACTAGAAAAGGAAATGGGCAAGTTGTGTAGCAAGAGCAAAAGGTAACGGATGGACATCCTATATACTCCCTTGATATCCATGTAAAGTTAATTGATCTACAGGATTATTGGGAAAATCCTGTTTTAATTATTTTAAGCTATTTATTGATGAAAATTTTATATTATTTAGGAATGTAATTGAGGCAGTGGATGATATAGTTAAAGGAAAATATCTGGTACTTTGTTGATAAGTGGGATTAGAATGTGAGTAGGAAACAGCATAGATTAAGAAAATAAGTTTTGGTAAGAAAAAATGATCATTGATTAATTAAATACTCAAAGTCACACCAGTAGTAAGTAGCAGAGCTGTTCACTAGATTCTACCTCCAGTGTTCTTTCCTTTATGCCAGGATACTGAAATAGTGCAGAAAAAGTTATTTATCATGCCTCCAGAAGGAGGAGGGCGGGCAAGATTGTGGATGTGTTCCATGTTTGAGAAGGTAGCTGAGGCGCTAGATGCAGGGGACCCGGAGCAGGACATTTCACCTCTTTGAGCTTCAGAGTCATAATCTATGACCTGGAGACAATGATGCAGTTGTGACGAACATGCTTAAAAGGAATGTGAAGCACTAGTTTAAACCATAAAATGCTATATATGTATCAGCTATTTTTATATTGTTTGCCTAGGGTAATTTCTTAGAATCTCAAAGGAAAAAAATTATTTATGGGGAATTAGAAGTACTATAACTTTGGACACATATTCTACCTGAAAAAACTTTAGTTTGTAGAAGAAATAGTTATAATTAAATGCTGGTAATATCTAAAATGTATTAAATGCATTGTTTCCTTTTCTTATTTAGATGCAGAATTGCTTAAAGATCACTCTCAAGGCTCCATTGCAGAAGATAAACTTAATGTTCTTGCTGAACAGCAATATAAACAACTAAAACATGCAATGCAGTGTAAGTTAGCTTTCATCTCAATCTTGTTCTGCCCCCCAATATATATCTCATTACCTTATACTGACACCTCATTTATCCATATCATCAAGGTGTTCTACATATAAATGAGTTTTCCTAACTTTTGAACTTATCTCTTTAAATGCCAAATTTTATATTTAATTATATATATTTAATAAATATATTTAATCATAACCATAATTATATTTAATCATAATGATAAAAACCTGCTAAAATGAAGTTACATATACACAGATGTATATATTACACATACAGCTATGTATGTATAAAAACCTACCTTTTTAAGCATAAGATACTTAACAAATTTATCTCCTCTTGATGATTAAAGATTCCTCATGATGAAACATCAATTTTTGTACTATAAAGTAATAACTATTCTCTTTGCTATAAGCTCTTTCTTCTTCTACAGGTTTTATGCCTGTTTCTAAAAAAAAAACCCCAAAACTCTTCTCTCTAGCCTCTTGTCTAGTTCTACTTTGAATCTTCTAGGAAGATCAGTTTGTGAAAATAAACAAGTGTGCTAAAATGATCATATTAAATAATACATCAAGATCCTAAGAATGAGCTGAAGTATATGGTTTGGTGTAGGGAATTTTGGACAACTGTTTTGTTTGCTTATATCCCTTGTTTTCCCCTACCTCTAGTTTTAGGGCTATCTTTAACAGGATTGAGGCTGCTGTAAGAGTAATCTCCATATAAATACAATGTTACTATAGTTTTGGTGAGCACTAAAAAGTGTTTACTATCCATCACCAAATCATTTTATTTTTAGTCTTTTAGTCTTTGAGTTTAGCTTCCTAATCTAATTAATTATTAACTTCTAGATTTTAATGAATCCATTAGATGATTATGTATTTGTTCCTATTTAGTAGCATTTAGCAAAGAGTAGGTAGAGGAGGCAGCTAGGTGGCGCAGTGGATAGAGCACTGGCCCTTAAGTCAGGAGGACCTGAGACCAACCTCAGGCCAAACACTTGACACTTAACCTCAATTGCCTAAAAAACAAAAACCAAAGAGTAGGTAGAGAGAATGAATAACAGGTTCAAAATCAAATTAAGTTTTCAAACTTGAGATTTAAGATACATACCAAAATACTAAATATTTTCTAAAGATGAATTTATTCCTTTAATGGGCCAATTAAAGATTTATGATACATTACTAATCAGAGAAACAGTATCTGTAATGGACAGAAAGTTGGTCTTGAAAGCAGTAAGTCCTGGGTTCATGTCCTGCTTCTGACATATCTTAGCTATGTGACCTTGGCTAAGTTACTCAACTTCTCAGTGCTTTAGGCCAAAGTGCATGCTAAATCAGATTAAAATGTTTTTGGGGAATGTTTAATAATAAATACAAATACAATATAAAATAAACAATGTTAATTTGTGGGTTTCTAAGTCAGTATGTAGGGGCTGGGATCTGTTTCTATTTGAGCTTGACACTCTAAGCACTAGGCAACACTCTAAGATTTTAAGTGGCAGAGAAGGTACATTAATACAGGGAATTTCCTCACCAGTGAAATCACAGGAATAGTCCTAATCCCTTTATCCTATACTTAACTAAACTCTTCCAGATTTGAGGAATATTAGGATTGATGTCTCAGAAAAATTATATGAATTTCAGCTATTCTAATGATGGCTTTTCTTTGGTATTAAAATTAAATACATTGAACTGAATTTAGTAACTCTAATTTATCTCTGACCTCACTAATTATAGCACAAATGGCCTTTGACATGATATGCTGAGCCATATTATATGCTGACTTGCAGCTGAAATCTCCTGTATGTGTGATCTAACCCTATTAGAGTATGAGTTCCTTGAGAGCAGTCTGACTTTTCATTTTAGGAGTTGAGAGAAGGGAGTTGAAGTTACCAAAGAAGGCTGTTTTTAGGAGGTGGGCTTGAATTGGATCTTAAAGTGGTTAGAGTAAAGTGTTATAGCTGGGGATGATAGTTTTCTAGGTAAGATTTTGTTTTGGATGCAGTCGTGGTTAAATGACTTACCCAGAGTCACATAGCTAGTAAGAGTCTGAGGCTGGATTTGAACTAAGGTTTTCCTGGCTGCAAGGCCAGTGCTCTATCTACTGTGCTACCTAGCTGCACCTCTAGTTAAGATTTTTAAATTGGGCACTGTCTTGCCTTATCCCTAAAAATGAGGCTAAAAGTGACAAATTTAACTTGGTTGGTACCAAAAAAAGATGAAGATTGAGATATGCCTATTTACCCTTTTTACTCATTATGTACCCTGCCTCCCCCATCACTGCCTTATTGTGACAGAGGGGCTTGCTTAGCTTAATTAAACTATGAGCTATGCTGTGCAGGGTTACCTAAGATAGACAGGTCATAGTGGAGAGTTCTGACAAAAGATGATCCATTGAGTAAGAAGGAAATGGCAAACCACTCCAATATCTTTGCCAAGAAAACCCCATGGACAGTATTAAAATGATAAAATATATGACATTGGAAGATGAGCCCCTCAGGTTAGAAGATGTCCAACACGCTACTGGGGAAGAGTAAAAGACAATTACAAGTAGCTTCACTACTAATGAAATGACTGGGCCAAAGCAGAAAGGAAGCTCCGCTGTGGATGTATCTGGTGATGAAAGGAAAGTCCAATGCTGCAAAGATCAGTATTGCATAGAAACCTAAAATGTAATATGTATGAACCAAGGTAAGCTAGATGTGGTCAGACAGGAGATGGAAAGTCTAAACATCAATATCTTGGGTATCAGTGAACTCAAATGGACAGGAATGAGTGAGTTTAATTCAGGTGATCATTATATATATAACTGTGGGCAAGAATCCCTTAGAAGAAATAGAGTAGCCCTCATAGTCAATAAAAGGGTGAGAAAAGCAGTACTGGGGTATAATCTCAAAAACGACAGAATGACATCTGTTCAAATCCAAGGCAAACTGTTCAACATTACAGTAGTACAAGTCTATGCTCCCATCATTGATGCTGAAGAGGCCAAAGCTCATCAGTTCTATGAAACCCTACAACATCTTCTAGAAATAACACCAAAAAAGATGCCACATTAATCAGAGGGAATTGCAATACTAAAGAAGGAAATCAAAAGATAATTATAATAATAAGCAAGAGTGTAAAATGCAAAATGAAGTACAAAATGAAGCAGGGAAGAGACTAATAGAGTTTTGTCAAGATAACGCACTGGTTGACTCTACACATGGACATCACCAGATGATCGACATTGAAATCAGATTAATCATATACTTTGAAGCCAAAAGAGAAGCTCTACACAGTCCTAAAGATGATGCTCTTGAAGTGCTGTACTCAGTAGGCCAGCAAATCTGGAAAACTCAACAGTGGTCACTATATTGGAAAAGATCAGTTTAAATCCTAGTCCTAAAGAAGGGCAATGTTAAAAAAATGTTCAAATTATCAAATATTTGTGCTTATTTAACATGCCAGCAAGGTTGTGTTTAAGATTCTATAAGCTAGGCTTCAGCAGTTTGTGAACCAAGAATTACCAGAAGAGCAGGCTGGTTTTCCAAGAGGCAGAGAAACTAGAGACCAAATTGGCAACATTCACTAGATTATATAAAACCCATATGTGGCCAAAAAGGAACAGTTAGGACCAAATATGGAACAATTAATTGATTTAAGATTAGAAAAGGAATACAAGGCTGTATATTGTCACCTTATTTATTTAACTTATGTGCAGAGTACCTCATATGAAAGGCCAGGATGGACAAATCAAAAGCCAGAATTAATGTTGCCTGGAGAAATAATATTAACAATTTCAGATATGCCAGTCTGATTACAGAAAGTGAAGAAGAATTAAGAAGTGTCTTGATGAGGGTGAAAGAAGAGAGTTAAAAGGCTGGCTTGAAACTTCACATTAAAAAAAACCAAACCAAAACACCAAGATCTTGGCAACTGGTCCAATTACTTCCTGGCAAATAGAGGGAAAAGAAATGGAAGCAGTGTCATACTTTATATTCTTGGGCTCAAAGATCACTGCAGACAGCAACTGCAGCCATGAAATTAAGACACTTGTCCCTTAAAGGAAAGCTATGACAAATCTGGACAGTGTTTACTAAAAAGCAGAGATATCACCTTGCTGAAAAAGGTCCACAGAGTCGAAGCTATGTTTTTTCCTGTAGCAATCTATGGTTGTGGGAGTTGGACTATGAAGAAAGCTGAGCGTGGCAGAATCAGTGCTTTCCAATCGTGCTGGAAAACTTTTTTTCTTGCTGATAATTAAAGTTATAACAGTTTTCGAATGTTTATTCAAAGTTCTTTCCAACTATTTATTTAGCAGAGAATAAATCTTAAAAATAAATCTGAGTGAGATTCCTGTAGAAGTTTTTGGCCATTGGACACTTAGGTTGCAAGCATGAGGGACTGAGGAGATGGTACAGCTTTCCAGTGTAATAAGGAAATTAGAAGGTAGAGAGAGTTTAAGATGTCCAAAAGACAAATGGAGCTGTGATATTGGAGATCAGCAGAGGAGTTAGGGACAAATAGGTGGATCTGTGAATTATCAGCATAGAGATGATAATTAAGTCCATGGGATCAACAAGTGGAATAGTCTAGGGGAAAAAGGGAAGAGGGTTCAGGACAGAGACCTATGAGACATCCATGGTAAGTAAGCAAAATGTGGGTGAGGATTTACCAAGGATATTGAAGAGTGGGCTGATAGGAAGAGAGCAAGGAGCAAGTGGGGTCCAGAACACCTAGAGAGAAAAGAGTATTAAGGATAAGAGAGCAATCAATAGCACCACAAGACTAAAGATTGAGAAAAGGTCATTGAATTTGGCAATTAAGAGATCACTGCTGACTTTGGAAAGAGCAGTTCTGTTGAGTAAATCAGAATTATGTTAGGAAGCCAGATATGAAGGGGTTAGGGAGGGAGGAAGAGGAGAGGAAACAGAGGCACCTATTGTAGATGACCTATTCAGTGAGTTTGGCCACAAAAGTCACAAAAAGATACAGAGCAATAGTATTTTGGAAAAGTCAAGTGATGGGTTGTTTTTGTTTTTTTGTGGGGAGAATATAGATATGTTTGTAAGCAGTAGGAATTGAGCCCGCTGGAAAACTTTTGAGAGTCCCTTGGACAACAGGGAGATCAAATCAGTCAATACTTTAAGGTATTAACTCAGACTGTTCATAGAAAACAGAAAACATGAACTTGGACAGACTTTGGGAGACAGGAGAGGATAGAAGGGTCTGGTGTGCTATGGTCCGTGGAGTCATGAAGAGTCATAAAAAGCAAGTGAGTCTAAACATACTAGTGGATACAACCAAAATGATTAACACAGTAGAAGTTAAATGGCAGATAATAGTTGAAACAAGTTCCAAATAACTTAAATGGAAAAAAAGATGGGGAAGATTCAAAGTGATGGATTTAGTGGAAAGGAAACCTTAGAATTAGTGGAGTCCCAGAAATCTTTTTTTTAAAAAAAGGATGAATGTTTTATTTTTGGAAATTACATGACAAAACTTATCAGAACCATACAAAAAAAAAAAAAACCCAACAACACCACCAAGCAACATTCTGCAAAGAGACAGCATCCATATAATCCCTGACAAAGAGAAATTAAATTTGTACATCATTCATCAGACTTCAAAACTCTGAAAAAGAAAAAAAAATTCCCAACTTCCAGAAGGAAAGAAAGGTTTTACTTATAAACTCATTGAGTGCAGAGATTATTTTATTTTTGGCTTTTCATTCCCAAGCACCTAGCTCAGTGCTTGGCATACATATTAGATATACACATACCTTTTGATTGATTTTTTAAAAAAATTTCTTAGGGAATTACAAGATTTTTCTCAAAGAAAAGTGATCCCTAAAATTGAAATAACACACATAAAATTAAAAAAATATGGGCCTTCTTCACTCATTTTTACCAGCAAACCCAAGTACATTTAAAGGACATTTGAAAAAAAAAAACACAAGAGAATCTTAAAGAATTCCTGGAGGAAAAAAGAAGTCATGCCCCTAAAAAGTCTTTGGAACTGAGATAGAGAGACCTTGAAGAGTTAAGTATTTAGAACGCTATATACTTTTCAGCTGTGATTAATTGTTACCTTAATGTAAGAGCCTGTAGAAAATGATCGCAAATTATTACACTATATTCTTGGCCAAATTATTGAATTATATAATTGGGATTGAAAAAAGAATAATAATAGATAAAATGAAAAGAAAATAGATTTTTCAATTAAGAGGATGCTATAAATAAAGAAAATGCAGGTCATTGAGGATTGTGAGGGGAGGAGATAAAGTGAAAAACTTTTATAAAGGTGAAGTGGTATGAAGTTTTAAAGATACACAAGCTTTAATGTAAAATTTGGGAATTCTCTGTAGTATTCTTTGACTTACAAATAAAATTAATAAAATAAGAATGCTTATGTACTCATCTAAAAATTGAATAACAATTTAACAAAGAATGGTAGAAGCCCAGCATATCATTTGCAATAGGGGAATGTAAAATGACATGACCTCCAGTATAAAAAGAAAAAAAAATTATAAAAATTTCTTTTTAAAAAACATAATTCAATTTTTTAAAATTAATTTTTTTTGTTCTAAATTCTTTCACTCCAACCAACACCTCCCCTACCCGTTGGGAAGGCAAGAAATACAAAACCCATTACAAATATGAAGTCATGCAAAACAAATTCCCACATTAGCCATATTAAAACTAAAACAAAATGTTCTATAGCATTGGTTCCCAACTGTTTTAATATTAAAAAAAACTTATGGATACCATACGTGATAGTAATTGTCATCTGTTAGGATAATATATAATGACAAAAGGCTAATTGAATTTAGTGACACTTAAATGAAGTATACATTATATTAATAATAGCACCCACATACATTTGAAAAATAGCGATACATGAAGTTTAAGACATTGTCTACAGAGAGCATGTATGCTTATTTATGGATTTACTTATGAAATCAGGAACTCCTTGCTTGGTTCCACTGCCCTCTAGGGTTCATTGGATTCCAGATTGAGAATCACTGGTCTACATGAAATTCATCTAATGCAAAAAGATATATACAAATTTAAATGACCGTGGTGGGTTAAAATTTATCATGCTACAGCTGGTTGAAGAAAATCTGTAGTAGCATTTCTGTTATCTTGTTGTTTAGTCACTTGCAGTCATATGCAACTCTTCATGACCCCATTTTGGGTTTTTCTTGGCAAAGATACTGGAGTGATTTGCCATTTCCTTTTTCAAGTCATTTTACAGATGAGCAGACTGAGACAGAGTTAAGTGACTTGACCAGGGTCATACAGCTGGTAAGTGTCTGAGGCCAGATTTGAACTAGTCTTCCTGACTCTAGGTTCAGTGCTTTCTCTACTGTACCACTCAGCTGCCCTTCTGTTATCTACCAGAGTTAAATTAAAAGAAGGAAGCACTGGGAAGACAGTTAAGGAAATTATATAATGTATAAAGGTGTCATTAAAAATGAAAGCATATTGATTACTAGTATGTATGCATAAAGTAAAATATCAGGTGAATTTATAAAAGAAAAGCTTATGTTCTTACAATATGAAATATAACAGTTTATATATATGCATATATATAGGACATATTTCAATACCTTACTATCAGACTATCATAAATTAAACAAAAAGATAAATAAGAAAAAGGACTCACATGTACAAAAATATTTATAGCAGCTCTTTTTGTGGTGGCAAAGAATTGGAAGTTGAGAGGATGCCCATTAACTGGGGGGAATGGCTGAACAAGTTGTGGTATGTGAATGTAATGGAATACTATTGTGCTGTAAGAAATGATGAGCAGGCAGACTTCAGAAAAACCTGGAAAGACTGATGCTGAGTGAAGTGAGCAGAACCAGGAGAGCATTGTACACAGTAACAGCCATGTTGTGTGATGACTAATGTTGATAGACTTAGCACTTCTCAGCAATGCAAAGATCTAAGACATCTCCAAAGGTCTCATGATGGAAAATGCTATCTATATCCAAAGAAAGAACTATGGAGTTTGAATGCAGATTGAAGCATACTATTTGCCAGTTTTTCCTTTTGTTTTGTTTTCTCTTTCTTGTGGTTCCTCCTATTGGTTCTAATTCTTCCTTACAGCATCACTAATGTGAAAATATGTTTAATAGGAATATATATGTATGGCCTATGTCAGATTGCATGCTATCTTGGGGAAGGAGGTTGGGAGGGAGGGGGAGAAAAATTTAAAACTCAAAAGCTTATGGAAGTGATTGTTGATAAATCAAAATAAATAAATAATAATAAAAAGGTAAATACGAACTTGTAGGCATAAAGAGAGTATTGAAAGGAATGGATTTAATAGACATGTGGAGATAATTTAATATAAAAAGGAAGGAAAGTTCATTTATTTCAAGTTCATGTAGAATATATACTTTTTATCTTTTTGTCATAGAGAAACAGAGTTAGATGTAATGATAAATACCATGTTTACCATAAATACCATGATCATTACGACAAAGATAAAAGTAAATGTAGTATCCTGTCCAGAAAGGTGTCTATATGGAGTTTAAAACCCAATTTATTGAACAATACCTGGGTTAAAGAAGAAATTATAAAACTCACAAATTACCTCAAAAATAATGGTAGCAAAAACTATCAAAGTTTATGCAATGCAGCTAAAGTATTACTTACAGGTAAATTTATATCATACATATGATTATGCAAAAAAACTCATAGCAAGCAAAACTTATGAAAAGACAGGAAAAAGTCATAGAGCAGATTGTTATTATTTTATGTTCGTTTTTTTCTCACCTTAAAATGAGACTAGATTAGAGATTATGGTTTTATTTTAGTTTTGATTCTTTCTTTTGTTCACCCATATTTGTTGACATTTTTATTATATAAAGTATTTTCAAAAAATGCATGTTGGTTCTGAGGGGGGTCAGGTGAGATAAGATTGTACACGTGGCTCATTTCAGATGCATTACTACTACCACAGTTAGAAAAACATTTGAGTTCACATTCAGTTAGGCCTAGATCAAGTGCCACTTTATCCTTGAAGGCTTCCCTCATCCTGCCTCTCTTAGAATCTCTCATGCTCTTTCTGAACCTTCATATATACTTGTATTGTCGTTTAGTGCTTGACTCAAACTTGCTGCTCATTTGTAACCTGCTTGGGAACAGGGGCTTTGTTGTTTTTCATCGTTGTGTCCTGAGTACACAGCGTCATACCTTCTCACTATATATCATCCCCTGAGTGACTTTATTAGTTCTTATGGATTCAGTTATGCAGATTCCAGTTCTATGCCTATATGAAGCCTTTCCTGCTCCCTTGAGGTGGTGGTGTTCCTCCAAATTAATTTGTATACATTTTGCATTTAATTTTCTGTGTACATGTTATATTATTTGAAAGAATGTAAGTTCCTTGAAGGCAGGGGTTGTTTTGTTTTTGTTTTTTAATCCCTGCTCCTGCCGTAGTACCTGGTACATAGTAGTTAATTAATAAGTGCTTGTTGTTGATTATATTTAATAAGTACTTTAAAATACATTTGTTGAATTAAAATTAATAGTATACCAACGTTATCTTTATATGCAAAGGATATTAAGGACAAGGTTACCGTTCTAGATGAAATAGGAAATGAAGATATTTTGAGTTGTACCAGATTTGTATAGGATTGTTAACATGAACAATGACCACATTTTCCCTTTAAATACAGTTAACAAAGTACAAGCAATTGTTTACTGTACATGTTCAGTTTATCCGGAAGAAAATGAAGTTGTTGTTAAAAAAGCACTGGAACTTGGAGTCGAAGGGAATAATAAAGTACAACCTTACAGGTAAGGGAAAAAGAGGATTCTCCTAATTTACCTTCACAAAGTAAAAATCTGATTTTTTTTTTGCTTTTTTTTGTGAGGCGATTGGAGTTAAGTGACTTGCCCAAGGTCTCACAGCTGGTAAGTGTTATGTGTCTGAGGCTGGATTTGAACTCAGGTCCTCCTGACTCCAAGGCCAGAGCTGTATTCACTGCGCCACCTAGCTGCCCCTTAAAAATCTGATTTTTGCAGTAAATTGTATAAGACAGCTCAGAACCTTCTGTTAGACCTCAATATGACTAAATAGTATACCTTTTATAACTCATTCTCTAAAACCTATACATTATAGTGAGGACTGTGTTGGTAAATGTTTAACAACCAGCTCTTTTAAAGGACACATTTTCAAGTTTAATCTGCATTATTAACATTTTTTGCATCACTTTTAGAAGTCTAGTCAATTAATAAAACAGTAAATCAAGATCTGATTTGTCATTTTTGCTAATTTCAAAGGTGTAAATGTTCACATTAAAAATTTAACAATTGGCTCTCAAGAATCTGTTAGATCTGGCTCTAGCATACCCCTCCTTCTAGGGCTCTTCCCATTTCATCAGTTTGGCAATATTATTCTCATATTATTAGGTAGCATAGATTTTTGTTGTTCTAGTAGAGGATTCTCTAACTTTCATTTGCATCATAGAAGTTATTAGGATGGATCAAAGTTCTATGTATGTTTCAGAAATTTTCATTAGATATAATATTTAAGATCTTTTTTTGAACCAATCTTGAAAACTCCTACAAATACAACATTTCCGTATACAAAAGATTACCAGAAAAAGAGGATTGCATTTGAACCTATGAATCTGTTAAATACTCCCTTTTTTAAAAAGCATATAATGAATTAAACATGTTAGTTTCAGAGCTGTCCTGCATGATTCTCTTCCTCCGAATTTAGTTTTGTTTTCTTCTCTGTCTTTAAATTATGCTTCCATGACCCTCCATCCCTTCTTTTCTTGTTTTTGGAATCTGTATCTCCAGCTCCCTTCCCAACAAATGTCCCCCCACCCCCACGTTTTTAAACACCTCCCCTGTAGCAAATAAGCATAGTTAAAGCAAAGAAAATTTGAACATTGACTCTGTCCCTTTAACACGCAGGTCTCACTTTGTACCTCTGGTCTATCACCATGGCTGTAAGGACGAGGGTAGCCTAGGCTCTCATCAATCACTGGTCATCACTTCAGGTTCTTAAGTCTTTCAAAGCTTTGTTTTGTTTTAATTTTTTAGTATTGTTCCTGTATGCATTGTTCTCCTGGCTCTGCTTACTTTACTCTGAATCAGTTTGTGCAAGTCTTCTCAGGTCTCTCTGAACCCATTCCCTCGGTCACTTCTTGTAGGACAATCATTTTCCATTAATGTGCCCATCTCCTTCTTGATTAATGGGTGCCTCTTTAGTTTGCAGTTCTTTGCTATAAGAAGTACTGCTGTAAACATGTCTGTGCATATATGTCCTCTGTTTCTCTGAGTGAGTGCCTCCTGGTCTTGGGTCAGAAGTCATGCACAGTTAGCAGCTTCAGGGGCATCATTCTAAATGCTTTCCAAAATGGCCAGAAAGATGTACAGCTCTGTCAATAGTGCATTTGTATTCCTGGCCTCCCGTAGCTCCTCCAACAATTGTGATTCTCCTTTTCACTCTCTTTGCTAATCTGATAGGTATGTGGTAGAGCTGCAAAGTTGTTTGAATTTGCATTTCTACTATGAACAATGTGGAGCATTATTTCACATGGTTGTTGATTGCTCAGATTTCTTCCCTTAGACTGTCTCTTCATATTCTTTCACCATTTATTAATTTTATTCTTATATATATGTATATAAATATGCACACACAGACACACACAGACACACAAACACACACATATATATGTATATATATATTTTTTTTGGGGGGGTGAGGCAGTTGGTGTTAAGTGACTTGCCTAGAGTCACACAGCTAGTGAGTGTTATGTGTCTGAGGCTGGATTTGAACTCAGGTCTTCTTGACCCCAGGGCCAGTGCTCTATCCACTGTGCCTCCTAGCTGCCCCCCTATTCTTATATATTTGAATCAGTTTCCTATATATCTTAGATACCAGATCTTTATCAGGAAAAATAACTGGCTTATTTGGCTTCAGAGACTTGGGGTAAAGCACATATACCTGGGTTCAGGATTTCTAGAAACTTGGTACATAGAGAACTGATACAGTCACGAGCTTTATTGTTATGCAACACAGCAAGCAGGCAAAACAGCATATACACATTACAGTAATATAAATAGACAGAGATTTGTCTTCATACACAAGAAAATCGTCCCATTGTCTTATGCTATGGTCAGTATGCATAGTATCTCTTTCTATTTCCTCCTCTGTATCCTTTCAGTGTGGGTTTGGTTCATAGTTCTTTGAAGTCTTCATATTCATTGTTAGTCCCTGGGTGCTAGAATGTTCTTTCCCCACTGCTGCCACTACACTGACTCCTGGCTGTACCCCACCCCAGCGTCTGCATATACCTCTCAGTCTGTCTTCCTAAGTTGCCCTGGGCTGGAAAAATGACTTCCTGTGCCTTTTTCTTGGCTTTCTCAATCAGAATCAGGTATAACACGTTTTCTAGGTTGTTGTGGAAGAAGTGTGTTGGGTGTACTGAGCAAAGATGACTCTCACTACACCATCTTGACTCTGCTTCTTCGCCAAAGTATTTTCTGTGTATAGTGCAATATCTGACATTAGCTTCTGCCCTTTTACGTTCCTCCACTGTTTTTACAGATCAATTTTGGGACCTGCAAATTTTTAGTGCTCCCCAAGTAGTATGATCTGGGAACAGGTTTGTTCACTGTCCTCTTGGTCTGAGCTCTGCAGCTTCCCAGGTTTGGGTCAGTTGGCTTGTGTGTGATTGAGTTTCCATAGACTGCTGCTGGACTTAGTCGCTATTAGCCCCTGAGAAGGCTCTGCGATTGGTCAACAGGAGGTTATGCTGGTTCAGAGCGTAACTTGTCTCTCTTTTCATCTTGGTTTGCTGCCTTAGTTATTCCCCTGTAGGATTACATGCTGGGCTGAAGGTTAGAAATGAACTGCTGCTTTGCTCCTGAACTCAGAGCCACACGGCTGTATTTCTAGAACTTGCTTCTTGATCAGTACTCAGCTAGGGCTCCCTTAGCCTGTGCGACCTGGAATGGGGTATGGAACAGCAGAGTTGCCAATGGCACGTGTTCCTGTTCCTGGTGCTGGTGTAGGGGATCCCTTGGGATCTCTTTCTGACCTAGTGCTTCCAGGTCTGGTGTTCAGTCTTATCCTCCTTATTGTCCCTGGGAGCTAGAATATTCCTCACCACTGCTGCTGCTACACTGCACTCCTGGCCATACCCTATCCCTACTGTCCACGGAGCTTTTTTTTTTTTCCTGAGCTACCCTGGGCTGCAAAAATGACTCCTTGTACTTTTTCTTGGCTTTCTCAATCAGAATTTGTTATAAAACATTTTTAAGTTGTTGTGGAGGAGGTTTATTGGGTGAGCTGGGCAAAGATGCTGACTCTCACTCCATCATCTTGACACCACCTCTTCCCCAATATGCTTTCTATGTAGCATCACTTTATTTCATCAAATAGCTGTTACTCCTTTCCAATTAAGGACTTTTCAGTCTAGTTTAGTGCCTTTGATTTGTTGATTAATACATGTATTCTTAACCAGTGCTTAACCAGGCACTTAATAAATATTTAGTGATTGCTTATTTATTAAGGCAGTTACCGTAGTGAGGTGGAGTGATTGGTCAATTCAGTTGGTCCCCACCCTTACACTAGTACTCATATCAGTCTTGTTTTCTTGATTCTTTTTTATGTTCTTTGAATAAAATGAACTTTTTGCTAAGACACTGTCACAACAGTTTAATTGGTGTTCCTTTCTAAAGGGACCAAACTTATTACATGAAAATTCTTTCACTGAATAGTTATACTTACATATGTGTGCTGCTACATCGGAACAATAGACTTCTTAAAAGCAGATGAGGTATATAAATGCATAAGAACTTCACAGAACTCTGCAAATGAAAACTCTGCAACTTACCTAAAGTAAGAACAAAGTTTTAACATCTTACCAGTGGATCGTACTTTCAAGCTATTGACTTAGCGTACTCTTTGCAGTTCTATAAGCTATTCACACTATCATTTTCATCTTAGTTCTGCAAAGAAAATATATACTATCATTTATTTTGGCTAATATTTGATGTAAAAGCATTCCTTGGGTTGCATATAAAACTACCTAGATATCTAACAGTAGTCTAATGACAGTCACTCATAGCATGCTTAAGTTAATGACATCTCTTTGCAGCAGTTATTTAAAGGGCCATTATGTAGAAGTGGTGACATAGTATAGTGGAAAGATCACTGAACTTGGTCAGAATACCTCATTTCCAACTCCCAGTTCTAAGAATGATAAAGTGCTTTGCAAACCTTAAAGTATATAAATTTGAGCCTATTAGTATTATTATTCCTCTGTTGTGTGACCTTAGTTGAGTTCCTTAACCTTTCTGAGCCTTAATTTCTTTGTCAATGAAATGGAAATGACAATATTTATACACCAACTTATAGGGTTTTTGTGAAAAGATTTTGTAACCTGCAAGTGCCGTATAGATTTTTATTTACTTCCATTGTCTCATGAGTACATAATATTCTTCATCCTCCAAATCTTTGAAATCTGAAAACTCCCAATCTTTGAAATTGATATCTGGAAGCCCCTAGAGTAAAAGAACTTCGGTCCTGTTATCTTGAGCTTTCTTCTAGCACCTAGAATCTGTTACCTAAATGTATATGACCTCCCTATCAATCATAGCTCTAGAGCTAGAAGGGACCTCACAGGCTTATATAATCCAACTATCCTCTCTTCCCATTTAAAAATAATTCTATAATTTTTTCAATGATGAGGCATTCATTTCCTTTCCCTGCTATGCTACCTACCCCCACTTGAACAGCAATGACAAAAAAGAAAAATTAAACCCTCAAAATATGT